GTCCCCCTGACCCTCCAAGTAGACGTTCCACCCTGGGATTTGAACCTACAGGAATCTCGAGTCTAGATCTACGCCTGGATGAGGTTAAGGAGTCAAGGCAAATGCTTAAAAAGGAGAATAGAGGCTTCATGTATATTCTACCTGAGCCGTCAAAGGGAAGTAGTTGCCATGCATAGGGAGACCACAATATAGACCCCAAAATACTCTAGTCCTTACAATAGAGACCCCAAAAAAAGGTGCCCCTAATTTGGGCCGTACTGGTAGTTACTGAAGCTTCTACATAACCTTGGGTCCCAGGTAAAGGTCTTCATTCAGGGGGATCAAGCTTGCAAGTTCAGCAGCTACTGTGCAGCTCTGGTAGTCTCCCTAAATAAGGGGACCCGACCTAGACCACAAAGTACTACAATCCTTGTTATGGGGACCCCCAAGACGGGTACCCCAAATTTTGGGAAACCCCCATGTTGGTTGTTCAGATATGCTTGGCTGTGGAATGCCTCATGCCTTTAATCGGAAAAAAATCTCATTGCAAACGCAAAGGTTGCTGCAAAAGTGCACTCCAAACCCTGTGCCCTGTGTATGTCAAGTCCTTGATGCGGGGACCCACTACATACACGCAACCAACAACATGTGAGTAGCGTTTTTTTGGTGGTTGAACCCAGTAAGATTATATTCCTTATGTAAAGTACTACACCCCAAAAGGAGGATATAATCTTACTCTATATTGGGTACCATAGTATCCCCAAATAGAATACTACTCATGTGGCCCATGACTTAGAGCAACTCATCAGCACAAGTTTCAGGAGCTGAGATGACTGCCGAACACTCAACTCTAACCTAGAAAACCCTAACGAATAATACTAGGAATACTAATACGAGTACTAGTAATAGGTATAATAAGACCCATCATACCAGTACCAGACAATTGGGGAAAAATATTTTTCCTCCCTAAACAATTATAATAGTACCAGTAATAAGAACAATACTAGTAAAGCCCAAAAAACTGGAGCTCCCTCCAAGTCCAAGTCCAAATCCCATGGGATCTGAAGACTTGACACCAACATTGTTTAGGGCTTAGGGTTCAGGATTTAGGGTTTAGGGGGATTATGGTTTAGGACTTAGGGTTTAGGGTTTAGGATCTAGGGCTTAGGGGGGATTATGGTTTAGGACTTAGGGTTCAGGGTTTAGGATCTAGGGTTTAGGGGGGATTATGGTTTAGGGTTTAGGGCTTAGGATTTAGGATCTAGGGTTTAGAACTTAAGGTTCCAGGGTTAGGGCTTAGGATTTAGGGTTTATAGGGTTTGGGATTCAAACCCCTGGTGCCTGGCTCACACATCGCACCTCATGCACGGTGCTACTTGGGTTCAGGGTTCAGGGTTCAGGGTATAAGGTTTACGGGTTTGGGGTTTAAGGTTCAGTGTACAAGGTTTAAGGCTGCGGGCTTCACGTGTAAAGTGAATGTCTCAGGTGTAGTCAGACCCTTGAGTAGACCTTAAGAGAGACTTCCCTAAATGCCGCTGTGGATCCACATGCAAGGTTACGGGCCCTAGGCAAGTCACATGAGGGTTTGGGGGTATATTCTGCTACAATCAAGCAAGAGCTATGTGGCAACAAGGTTGATAGTTATTACCTCGAGGGGTCTGAATAGGAAGTGGAAGCCTGTTTCTTGTAGAGGCCCTACTCTGTTATTCTATGCTGATTGCTGCAAGCTTTGTCTATTTCCACTCCAGAGCACTGTTGGGGTGTGGGCTCTTGATGGAGTTCAGGATCTAGAATTCAGGGTCTTGGCCTGCGAAGAAAGGCTTGGGGTTGTAGGGTCACTTATTTCTTGACTAGAACCCTAAAACAATGCACCCGAGATTAGTTCTATTGCGCAAGAGCTAGGAAGTTTGATGCAAAGTTTGGCTAACGCGTCCGTGCCCTGAGCTCCTTTTTCTGGGAAGTTCTGAAGGTTAATGCCTCCACTGCAGTACCCCCTTCCCTGTTACTAAATCCACCATCCCCCACCCTACCCATGGAGAAATGCCTCGTGCTGTGGCATTGTAGCGTACTACTCGGGAATATTTCATGACTGGTGGTGGGGGCGGCTGAGAATCGCGAATGGGGCCTCCTTCACAGCTTGTAGGTTTAAGGTTTAAGGGCATAGAGTTTGGGGCTTAGGCTTTAAGGTTTAGGGTTTAAGGTTGAGGCTTAGGGTTTAGGGCTTGGGGTTGAGGAATGAAGGTTCCGGGCTTGCGAAGGCTCCTAGGAGTCGATGACAGCAAAGAAGCAAAGATGCAGCTCCTGCCTTTAAAAATGGGGTTATATAGGGTTATATAGGGATAATATTACGGTTATATAGGGATAATATTAGGGGTTATATGGGGATAATGGAAAAGAAAATGGAAACTACTATATTATAGTAGGGTATATATTGGGGTTATACAAGGATAATGGAAAAGAAAATGGAAACTACAATATCATAGGGGTAATGTAGGGGTAATATAGGGGTAATTTTGTGCTAGTACTTGGAGGCTGACGGAACGTGGGCTCAACACTAAACCTTAAACCTTAGCAGGGTCTAGAGTCTAGGGTGTCTGGGTTGGGATGTTGGGCTTCCGCTTTTCGACTTCAAGGTCCGAGTACGTCTCTGCGTGCAGGCATCATACTGGGGAGTGTGGTCAGCCGTCTGTCTCATGCTGGCGAAATCACTTTAGCTCCCAAAAAAAGGCATACACGATATCACCCTAGACTCACCACACTTCTGCTAGCCCTAAAACCCTCTGAACCCTAAACACAGCTCGGGGTTTAGGATGCAGGGTTTCAGGCTTAGCGTTTAGGGTTTAGGGGAGTCTCTTGGTCCAGGTCATCCGAAGTGCCAACGCTCCGGAGGTTGTTCGTGACTTCGCCCTTGAGCACTCTTAGTTGTAGAACCTGACCCCATGAGCCACCGATAAGTGGTGGGCCATGGTTCGATTGCAGCCGTTGGATTCGGGAGACCCGGCGTCGCTTTTGCAGGCCCGGGTGCTCCCTCATGACCGTGGAAAGGTTTAGGGGAGTCTCCTCTGAAACGAACCCCCAAGAAATTCCTGCACGGCATCCTCGTCCACCCAACCCTGAACCCTAAAACCCAACACACGGCATTTATCCCATCTTTCCCCATTCATTCCATTGTATCCCTGAACCTCTCCAAATATATCCCCAATCCCTGAACTGTGAACCCAAACCTGATGAAGGTGCAAGGCACGTTTTGGAAGGTGAGTTCTTTGGCCATGGCTCGGACGCGCTACTTGCAAAAAACAAGCTCTTATCTTGGTTGTCGGATGCTTTAGGGTTCAGGGTTTACGGCAAATCCTTCTTCCTGGCTTGCTGAAGGTTTAGGGTTTCGGTTTAGGGTTTACAAGCAGGATCTTGCTGAGAAATGTGGATGACTTATTGTGTCGCGCTACTACGTTCAAAGTCATAGCTGGGTCTCCGGGTCTGAACCATACACTTAAAACCTAAGCCAGCAAACAGGTGACAAACACGGAAGTGGGCTGCGCGAGTGGAGCTCGCGTTCAGTTCTTGCGGCTTGCAGGGGTAGAGGGTGCTTTGGCTGCGAGCTTCAGGTTGGTGTTTGGGTTGAAACAAGCTACTGTTGACTCAAAGCCTGGAAACAAAATCAGCGACAGCATGCATAATACTGTAAACACTAAAACCCGTGTGCGTAGGTGTATGTGTGTTAGTGTGTCTGATAGCAAGGGCACTACTACTCTGTTCAAAGGCGCCTTTCGGGGTTTCCGTGTTAGTTTTGAGAATGATAAGAACAATTCCTGACGAAAATCCTGCATGACCCTGAGTGCTCCCTGCATTGCGAAGTATGGTTTTCTGGTCTGCTACGATCGAATACGATCTTTAGCATCAACAGTATGATAAGGGCTTATAAAACAATACTAGTGCAACCTAACGCCTAAATCCTGAAGTCCATCCCTCAGCCCTCAGCCCTAACCTTCTAGGATGTTTGCCAACCACCAGTATGATAGTGGATCCCCGACCCCAGTAATCGTGACCACAAGGGATAATAGTGAGCATATTAAGTTCCTCCTATATTCCACCTAAGATATGACAAAGTTGTCACTGAAATCTTGGCCTGCAGCCTTACTTGGACCAGACAGTTTAAACTCTTCGGTGGTGGATTTAAGGTTGATGGTTCATTGCCCTCAGCCCGCGAAAATGAATGAAGAAACAAGAAAACTGTAGGCAATTGTTGGGTGTGTTTTGCTGGTCGGCTTATGTAGACATAAACCCTTTAAGATTCAAACCACACCCATGAGCTTTAAGAACAACAGCACAAGAGAGCCTGCAAACCTCATTCGTGGTAGGATCCTTCTTCAGACTTGCCGCATCGCAAGAGTATCCCATGTACACACATGCCCTTAGGCTGGATTCCTCAAGACACATGCAGCTCTCTCACGAAAAGAGCACTAGAGCTGCCCTTGAAATAATGCACTGGAATGTGCAAAAACCCTGTGTACGTTCTGCAGTGGGACACTTATCCCCTGTAGCAGAGAAACTGAAAACATGATTTCTCACATCAGGAGGGGTCCCTAAGACTCAAACCCCCAAACCCCCCCACATTTTACATGCTGCCACTTCAAACTCCTGAACCCTACAATCTCAACCCAAAATCGGGAGCAGAACTACAGGCCCGAAACCCTAAACCCTAAACCACTAAACCCTAAACCCCTAAACCCTGAACCCCTAAACACTAAACCCCTAATGTGGCAAAGACCTTTTTTCAAGGATTTTGTTGATCTCATTCCGATGCCTTCACCCAATGGACGTCCAGCCTTATCTGGGAATTTCTCAAAAAGGTGTATTCAGGGTTTAGGGTTTAGGGGTTTAGGGGTTTAGGGTTGAGGGTTTAGGGGTTTAGGGTTTAGGGTTTAGGATGTATTCGGGTTTTAGGGTTAAGGGTTTGGGTTCAAGGTTTAATTAGGGTTGAGTTTCTCAAAAGGAGGCGCCCCTAGGGACTCTGGGGATATGCCGTCGTTATCAGGGGGGTTCTGGGGGCGCCTGTTAAGGAGGGCTTAGATATAAGGATTACTTATCATCTTAGTCAAAGTACCCATAATAAGGGTGTAATCACTGCATTTTGGCATCTTTGACCTATTTTTTACGGGTCTAGGCTACTCTATGTAGGGTTTGGAGGGTTTGCATTCAAAACTCAAGGCTTCTCGTTGGATTTTTCACATGATGGTTCCTGTTGCGGGACCCTTGGGATTCCACACGAAGGCATCGGCATTCTAGGGACACATGAAAAGTTGAGGCTTAGGTTTTTTGGAGCCTGGGGTTGCTGGAGACTGGGCCACTTCCAACTGCATGCCCAACACGGCGCAGCTTAGGGTTTAGGGTTTAGGGTTCAGGATGGACGTAGAAGTACCCTCACTTAACGGATCAATCCTCGCTTACCCGAAACCAAAGAGCCCTGTGACCTAAAAGCTCTTACCAAGGACTCCATCCAGCGGATACTCAATTGGGTCCTACTTTGAGGAGAATGCCTTGCAGGAAGATCCATGTGCTTCTGTGCTTCCTTGGGTTCTTACGTACAAGAGAAGTGAGACATTGATGTTTGGGCCTCAAAAGCTTGATGTACTTTCGGAGCTTACAGAATTACCTGGGTGATTTTGAGGTCTATATACAAGGAAACTAGAACCATGTGATTGGGACCTCTTCGGGCTTCTGTAGCAAACATCAACCTCACGCAGCATCCAACGAGCATTTGAAAAACCCTGCCCTGCAACAGCGCAATCCCCTTCCCTCATAGTACACAACCCCACTAGGGCGCATTTATCCTCAGTGTATACATTCTTTTTTGAATGAGCTAAACCCCGCCACCCTAGCCTTTTCAAAGCAACGGAAGCTTTTTCCTTGCTATGCCCTCAAGTGCCATATCCATCCTGTTGTCTTCTTGCAGGACCCACAGAGGCAACCATATTTTTGACAAACTGTAAATCCACAAATGTCTGAGTCAGGACATCAAATTTGGATTCCAAACTCTAAAATCCTTAGCCCAAAGATTTTCCATTTACAGAAAGTTGCTCGCATCCGGAGTCAATGATCATGCCTTGGGGAGCAAGGTTCAATGAATTATCCACGCTTCCAAGGGCATAGGGTTTAGGGCTTTGGATTTAGGAATGGCGGTTTGGGAGTTGCGCTTAGTGTTGAGAGTTCAGGGTTCGGACCTGAAGGTCCGGGAGTTCGCGGACAGTGGTAGGATACAGTACTGCACTCCAGAAGGTCCATAAGTAAGAAAGCTAAGGAGCAGTCAGAATTTATTCGGAAATAGTGAAACTTGGAGGCCAATGACATGGAGCACCTTCACACCCCCCCAAACCGACAGGAGCTATAGTCTAAACTCCTAGTAGCCCCCTTAATACCCCGTATGGTAGTCCCCTATATAAACCCCTATATAACCCCCTTTAAGGAGTTTAGAATATAGCTCACATGGAACCCCCACATAGTCTTCGCTGAAGAAAACCTATCGACGGCTATCCCTGCTGCAGCTTCCAGCTGGCCATTTGAGAGTTTAGGGCTTTGGGAAGCAAATCTAAGGGACTTCTTGCGAATCGGATAGCTGCTACAGGGCTACCATCCCCCAATAACCCTTACAAACCCATGAAAACAGGCATTCCAGGGCCCTGCTTGCGCACCGCGGTGCTTGCCACTGGACATCGCAGCTTGACACCAGCAGCGATAGCGCGGACGTCGGCCTCTGAAGCATCGGTGAAGACCTGGGTATTCAGAATTTTAGTGGTTGTTGGGGACAGTCTCGAGTCAAGGTTTAGGGCTTACGACTCGGAATGAGGGAGGTTCTTCTTGTAGTTTTTCTCCCTAGCATTAAGAATAATCGTGATTGTCGTTAAACAATATATGAACCCCTTTGAACAAATGTTGTAGTCTTTAACGTACCCCTGTTAAGGTGCTGCATGTTTGCATGGGGAACTGAGCCCCGCACATTCCTATATCATCTCCGTATCAACCCTGCATCATCCCGGACAGGGCTGAGCACGGGCAATATTCATGCATGTGACATGGATCCATATCCAGAAGAAAGTGTTCTAAAACCTTGCCAGGACGCGTCATCCTGCAACTAGAACTCCAAACCTTACGTTCACGGCAATCCAATTAAGATGCGGAAGGAGGATTCCTGTAGTCCGCGGTTGAAGGTTTACAGTTTGGAGCTTCACCAAGTCATCAGGTCCTTGGAACCCATACATACCCATACAAGACCTAAGCAGAACATCATTGTTTCCACCTTTTTTGTTCGCTCAAACAGGTTTTGACTGCTTCTGGTTGTAGTGCTCTACCAGTGGGAAATTTGAGGGGGACACTGCGAGCATGTTCTTGATTTCCCGTGGTTAAGCCCATATCTGCTTAAGGATGACAATGCATCATACCCTGCTGCCTTCACACAACGCAGAATTCCAGCTTACAAACCTCAACACTGTTCAAATCTCAACCTCCCCTAAACTCTAACACCCCAAACAACCAAACGCTAAACTCTAAACCACTGGACCCAACACAGCTGAACCCCCAAACCCTAAACCACCAAACCCCAAATCCCTAGATCCTAAACCCTGAACCTTACACCCTAGACGCTAAACCCTAAACCTCAAACCCTTAACCCCTAAACCTGAAGCCTTTTTAAAACCTGAAACCGGGACAGGTACCGTAGCAGTGCCCGTGATCCTCAGCAAGCAGAAGCAGGCTTGGAGCTCCAAAGTGATGCTGTTAAAAATCTGTAGGGTATGTGTATATATATATATATGTGCAGGGTATCTATAAGGTATTTAGGGTTCAGGGTTAGGGTTTAGGGTTACCATAATAAGAATATATGGCGAAGAATATGGTCCCCATACAGTAACTTAGCTTAAGTTGCAACCCAGCCAAAGGCAGTATGGGTCACAGCCAGAACTACACCCCACAGGGTTCAGGGTGTAGGGTCCGGGGTTTACTGTAGAGCTTAGAAGTTTAGACTATAGCTCATTCGGGTCACAACCAGAACTACATCCCACAGGATTTAAGGATTAGGGTGAAGGTCAAGGCGTCGGTTTCGTTTTAGGATTAAGGCTTAGGTTTCAGGTTTAGGGCCGAGGGTTCAGTTTAGGGCTGAAGTTTCTTTTTTAAGGGGTAGGGTTAAGGCTTCGTTTTAGGGTTTGGGGTCAAGGGTCTCAAGGGTCTAGGGTTACTGCTTCAACTAAAGGTTCAGCTGAAACGGTATGAACTACAATTAAAGGTAGAACCCCATGCGACCAGGTCAAGAAATCTGGAGGGAAGATGAAACCAAAAAGTGCACAAAATTGCAAACTCGCAATTTGCAGGGCTTACACTCCGCTCAGCAGGTACAGGGTTGACTTCTGCTTTACGAGTTTAATGAGCTATCATCTACACTTAGTATCTCCCTTTATAATTCATATTGTAGTCCCCTGTATAATCCCCCATACAAAGCCCCTTTGAGGAGCTCACACTACAGCTCATGTGGGCGGGGTCGTCCAAATTATGGTCCCTTTTTGGAATCCCATTGCAAAAGGCGCCCCTATCATTCAGGAAACCGGAAGGAGACCACACTTTTTACAACCGTCTGCGGGTTCAACCCAATAGGCTGCCTGTCCCTTGTGCGAATACGAACTTTACCCTACACCTGAACCCTACACCATTCGAACTGCTGGAATCCAACCCATCCCGAACTCAGGCATTTGGGGTTTGCCATCCCCCAAACTATCATGCCAGCGAATGGTCTACGGCTTGGGTTTGGGGTGTAGGCTTTACGATGCTTTACGTTTGGGGGTTTAGAGTTTCAGAAAGGACTGTTGTG